GGCGCCCGTTGGCAAGTTGCTGGCCGCTTTCGCCGCAGCGATCCTTAGCGCCCTCATGCGCCCTGGCGGGATCCCGTTGATGGCCGAGCCCCACAGAGCCTTGGCAGCGGGGCCTGCCCTCTGGATCTTGGCCTGCCTCATCCCCGAGCCGAAGATCCTGGTGATGTTGTTGCCCTGCCGCAGAGCCGCCAGCTCCCTGGCCACTTGCGCCCCGACCCTGCGGTGGCCGCCCGCCGTCGCATCTCCTCCAAGGTCGCGGTGCCCATCGACGAAGGCTTCGTCGGCGAGGACCCAGTCGGCGTGCTGCTGCAGCTCTCTCCTCAGCTTCACCGGGGAGGCCAGTGCCTTGGTCTTTCCCCAGTTGATGGGGAGCCTCTTCTCGCCGAGCATGGTGGCGACTCCCTTCGCGAACCTGGCGATCTGATCTACGACCAGCCTTCGCGTGCCTATGCCGTGGCCCGAGATGCCGTCCATCACGTTTACCACCCTGCCAATGGGCAGCAACTTCCTCGACTGCAGCAGGAGGTCGTATACCATGATCCTCGCCATGGTCGTAGCACAGGAGCACCCCGCGATGACGGTGTCTTCTACGGCCAGCTGCTCGCTGAGGGCAAGGTCGGCCCTGGCCCTGCGGGGGCCCGAATACAGCACACACAGCGCCTGTATCAACCCAGTGTTGAAATCGCAGCCCCGCGCCGCTTCGAGGAGCAGCTTGTGCCTGATCTGCTCGTAGAACTTGCTGATGTCGAAGTAGACCGATGCCGCCTCGAAGTTCTTCTCCCGCGCCAGACCGAGCAGGAGGTTGTGGATGTAGGCCGCCCTGTCACAGCAAGTGTCCGCGCCTGCCCCCCAAAATTCGGGGAGCTTGTGGTCCTTCTCCCACTCCGCGCAATACTTGCGCCTGATGCGGCTCCAGATGCGCATCCACATGCAGAGGAGCCCGATCGGGCGGCGGCCCCCGTCTGGCTTCCCCAGGAAGACGATTATCGTGGTGAAAAGCTCCGACTGTTGGGGGTGGCGTTCCCAGGCTGTCAAGATGTCCGCCAGCCTGTCCGCGTATTCCCTGCCAAGGCTGAGGATGAGCCTGGGGTGGAAGGCGCCCCATCCAAGCGCCGTCCTCCCGGGGAAGGTCCTGGCCGCTGCCAGCACCTCCTCTCCCGTGATGGCGCCTAGCCCCAAAGGCTCGTTCCACTCCTCGGGGCGAACGCCGTCGGGGCCCTCCTTGTGCCAGAGCGCCCTCCACTCTTGAAGGATCCTGTCTAGGGCCTGCTGACCGACCAGCGGGACGGGAGGGGCCTCGCCCTCGCCTGAGCCAAGGATGGAGCAGGTCTCCAGGTTGGCCTGCTTGCTGATCGCGTGGGCGCCCTTGCCGTTCCCACTGAGGGCCTCGGCCATGAACTCCTTCCAATGCTGCCTGGCGAGCTTCGCATCCTCCCTGCGCTTGACCTCCACGGCGGCGCTGATGGCCTGGAGAAGGGTGTCCCCCTGCTGCGTCCTGCCCAGGATCTCCGCCAGCATCGTCGCCATCTTGGTGCCGCTGAACATCTGGCAGCCCACAGCCTCGAACTTGGGGACCAGACCGAGGGCTGCCTCCTGTGGCCGCTCGACATGCTTGTGGTGCCCAGGCGGAGGGTGGGGCGCCGACGCCGCGGCCGCCAGCTGCGTGGCTAGGCGCCCCAAGGATACCCAACAGCGCGTTAGCGGGCTGGTCCTTCGCACTTCCTCCGAGCGCAGGAGGTGGATGAGCTGCTTGGGCACCCACTTGACCCCCTGCGCCCTGCCCTTGAACTTGGCACCGTCCTTGATGCCGAAGCTGCGAATCAACCGCTCCTCCGCCTGGTCGAAGAACTCCATGATCGCCTTGGTTGGGCTCCCACTCTCGTCCAGGAGCGGCGCCTTCCAGTCCGTCAGCGAGTCCTCCTCCTCTGGCTCGGGCTGGATCCCTTCCTGCTTGGCCGCAGGCAGCTCAAAGGGCTCGGGGCCCTTCTGCACCCAGACACCCGCCTGGCTGCTCAGCTTCTCGAATGTGAGCCTGGCGGGGGCGTGCGGGTGCGTAGTCACATGCCTTAGCACCGTCACTTTCGGCCCTAGCCCCGCCAGGACCTCGGAGATTGCGAAGAAGTCGCATGTGCCAACCCCGCAGGTCGGCTCGTCGGGCGCCACGACCACCGCCCCCGCGGCGCGAGGCCACCACGAGCTGCTAAGGAGGCTGGGCTCCAGGTTCCAGTCTGCACCCACTACGAAGGGCTCCCTCAAACCCAGGAGGAATCCTTGCAGCTCGCTCAAGAGGTCCACGTTGGTCTCATTGAGCTTGACCGAGCACTGCAGGTACAGACTGACACACACACCACGACCAGGTCCCCGAATGCGACTCGCCTCGCCACTATCCCTGAGGCGTGCAGGCCCCAGTCTTGGTCGATCGGGGCCACTCCGCGGTGTTCCCCGACCAGCACTCCAACTCCAGAAGAGACGGCTTGGACCGCCGTCCCCGTGCTGCGGCACACTCCAAAGGCCGCGTTGATGCCGTTCCGCTTGCACCAGGCACGGGCCGAGCCAGCAGCCGACGCCGAGGTGAAGCGGGTCTCCTGGATGAGGTACACGTCGTCTCTGGCCTTCTCGTCCAGCAGCTGCTCCAGGGCCGTCTGGGACTCAGCCCAAGTGGAGCCGTTGATGCTGACGAAGCTGGCGCCCTGCTGCACCGACGGCCTCACAAGCTTGGCCAGCTGGAGCCTGGCGGCCGCCGCGGGCCTCCCCTCTCCTGCCGCCTCGGCCCTGGGCTGGGGGCTGAGCTTCGCCTTGCAGACGAGGTCCATGGGTAGGCTCCCTCCCGAGCCTGCAGCCACTCCATCCTGAATGAGCAACCCGCTCTTACATATGGGCCCTCGGCTGGGCTGCGGACTGCCTGCCCCTTGGCCTCTCTGCACATCTGGGCACACGATGGGCCTGGGGCCAAAGGTGACGAGGCCGCTTGCCCGCCGCCCAGAGCGCGTCCAGGGCATCACGCAGCTTGCGCTTAGCCTCCTCCCGCTGCTCGGGGGTCGCTTCACGGAGGGCTGCCGAAGCAGCAGCGAACTCCTCGCGCTTCTCTTCCCAGCCTTCACCTCCGAGCAGCTCCATGTCGATGTCGTCTGATTCTGGCACAGGCTGGTGCTCCCCGCCCGCGTCAGACTCCCCAGCAGCAGGACCAGGAGGAGCAGCAGCGGCCCTGGCCGAGGCAGCTGCCTTCTTGCTGTCGCTGGCCGCGGACTGCAAGCGGGCCAGGACCGCGAGGGCGTCCTTGGCCTCCTGGCAGGCGGCGACGTCCTCGTCCAGCCCAGCCGCCACAGCCAGGATCGGGTCGGGGAGCTCGCTGGCCTGCAACTTGACCAACTTGGCCTCCCCCTCCGAGAGCTTCTGGTTTTCCTCGCTGAGGGCCACCCTGAGCTCCTGGAGCTCCTTGTCCAGAGCGGCCTGCTGCTCCACGATTGCTGCCTCTCGGGACTCGAGTTTCTTGATCTTGTCTCGCATGGCCTTGACACGCCAGCGCTGCGTCTGGGCAGTTGGCTGTTTGCCCTCAAGCAGCTTCGACTCCGCCGCCTTTTCTGCCTCCTCGACCGCGCTGGTGTCCAGCCCTTCCTTCTCCAAGAAGGTGCGAACTTCCTTGAAGGAGATGCCTGCCCCCGCCTCGGGCGCCTTCCTGGTCGGGGGCTTGCGTCCCTTCCAGGGCTCCGACGGGGGCGGGGCCTCGCCCTTGAGCTCCGCCACCTGCTTCTGTAACTGCTGCAGCTGCGCCAGAAGCTGGCCTTGGCCTGGCGGACCCTGCGCCCAGGCCCCGCGCGGGCGAGACGTGCTGGGAGCTGGCCCGTTGGCTGCTGCTGCCGAGAGCTTGGCTGCCTGCACCACGTGGGTGGGAGCCGCCTTGCCGCACTGGCGGCAGCGCGTCCTGGACGCCCAGTTGCCATCCCGCCCGCAGGAGCAAGCCCAGAGGGGTGTCTTGCTCGCGCCTGGGATGATGCCAGGGTCCGAAAGTGCCGGCGCCATGGCCCGCGGGCTGCCGCGGGTGGGGCCGTCGTCGTGAAAGATTGGCTCGTGCCCACTCCGCCGCTTCGAAGTAAGTGAGCACAAACGCGAGCTGAGTCCAGCTCAAGAAAACCAGCTCGCGCCGAAACGGCTACGGTGGGGGCATTGTGTAAGGAACCTTTACATAAGGAATCCAGGGTGTGGAAGCCAGTGAAACTCCGATCGCGGATCGGCCATGGATAGCACTGCCACCCTCATCAGATAAGGAATCCAACAGGGTCTGAAGCCTCCTGGGCCCATTTCTTAACGAATGCCCCCACCGTCACATCTGCAAGGTAGACGGCGAATCACCAGGCCTGAGCTACCATTAATAAAAAAACAGCACGAAAGGAGACCGAGAAGAGTGATCATGAAGAGGAGGAGGAGGAGGAGGAGGAGAAAAGCAAACCCCAACGGGCTCCCTGCTTGCGAAGACACCAACTGAACTTGAACCCGGGCTGAACTCAGACCCAGGCTGACCTCAGACCCAATTCTCGGACCGAGAAAAATCGGACCCAAACTGGACTCGGACCCGGCTGAACTCGGACCTGGGCTGAACTCGGACCAAGCTGAACTCAGACCCAGATGAACTCAGACCGAGGCCCGCGCTGCAGCGGGAACGCCCGAGTCCGAATTCAGAGGGGTTCGAGATCAGCCAGGTCCGATTCAGCCGGGTCCGAGTTCAACGGGTCCGAGGCAGCTGGAAGCCTGGAGGTCCGAGGGAGTCTGAAGCGAAACGAGCGTGACCACCTGGCTCATCGCATCTTGGAGCGCAGAGTGGGAGGAGTCTGAAGGAAGAAGAGGAGAGGGTGGAGGAGGAGCAGCAGCAGCAGCAATAATACAATGGAAGGGGGATAGCGGACTTGGAATGCGCAGGATTTGCGAAGGATGAGGGCGCAGAGAAGAACTGGGAATGACGAAGCGGGAGGACTGCAAATAATAAATAAACGGGGTAGGATTTGGAGTAGGAAGCTGGAAGAGGAAGTGGAGGAGGCCATGTGGCCATCGGTCAAAAGAGTTATGCTGCGAAGACAAAATGTCATTCGACCATATGTAGTAAATCACGAGACAGCTCGCCGGGTATGCCCCGCCGCCAAGCCAGACAGCAAACATGTGTCGGGCGTAGCCCCCCGACGCATGCGCATGCACCTGCCAACGTCGTTTGTATTGGTTGCGTCATGGCTTGCGCGTTCGCCGCCCGACGATAAAAACGGCCGCCTCACGAGCGCGCCTAGGGCGGGTTCGGCCGGGCGCGAGCTTGGCCCGGCGCGAGTTCGGCCTGGTGCGGGTTCGGCCAGGCGCGAGGTCGGCCAGGCGCGAGTCTTCCAGCCTGCGGAGGAGGCCAAGCCGAGGGAGAATGCCAGAGCCGCCGGGTGCGAGTTCGGCTGGGTGCGTTCTCGGCCGGGTGCGAATTTTTCTGCCTCTGGAGGAGGCAGGGCCGGAGGCGGGAGAATGCATGAGTCGCTGGGTGCCAGTTCGGCGGGGTGCGAGTTCGGCAGGGTGCGAGTTCGGCCAGGTGCGCATTCGGCTGGGCTGGAATTCCTCCGGCTGGCAGGTCAACCGCACGCGCATGTACGAAATCCCAGAGACACTTACATCCGGAAGCCCCAGCACAAAAGCCTGAGATGTTAACCCAGAGACCCTAAAACACGAATGCTCGACCTTAAAACCTTCATCCGCAAAGACCCGGCTACACTAACACCCAACTGTCCTAAACCCTCAGGCCATTATGCACTAATACATGAACTCCTAGTAAGTGAACCTCATCCCCGAACATCCGAATGCCCTGAGACATACCCCAAGACCATAATACTCAGAGGCCCTGTATCCTTAATACCCTAAGACCCTAACGCCCTGATACCATCATACCCTAAGCCCCTGATGCCATAAGCCCTTAATGCCCTCATGCCCGAGTAATTACCATAACATCCAAGTGCGCCAATACCCTGAAACCCTAAATCCCTAATACCTGAAAGCCCCGAAGCCCTAACACCCTGATGCCGTAAGACTTGAACTCTGTAAGGCGAGAATACTCTAAGACCATGGCACCCTGAAGCCCTTCGCCTTTTAATGCAGAAAACCAAAACAAATCCCAAACCCTAGTGTCTGAATACCCTAAGGCCCTAGAGCTCTAAGACCCGAACACTCTAATACAATAATCCGGAAGACCCACATACCCTAACGCTCTAAAGCCTTGAAACAAGTAAACCAACAAATCCCAATGCCGGAAAACCCTAATACCGGAATGCCCTAATACCCAGCCCTAAGATCCCCAAGTCCCTAGTACCCTAATGCCCTAACGCTCTAAATATCTGTGGCCGCAAGACCCTAAGACATTAAAACCCGAACAAACTAATAGCCTCATATCCCAAAACCAAATACACGAATGCCGTTATATCCTACAAACCTAGCGCCCTCATACCGGACACACTGTCACCCTAAAACTCTAATACCCAGAGATTCGAATACCCTAAAAACACCAGAAGTCACGCCCTAAAGCCATAGTGTTCTAAGGCCATAACCCCCCTGATCCTAATACCAAAGCCCTAAGACCCGAATTGCTTTTGCACCTTGAAGCCCTAAGACCCTGACGCCCTGATACACTAAGACTCGAATGCTCGAACACCCTGATACCCGACTGCCCTAATAACCGAACGCACTAATATAGTAAGACCGTAGAACAAAACCCTGGGAACCGAATGCCCCCATCCTGTAAACTCTAAGACCCAAATGCATGAGGACCCAACATGCCGAACGTCCGAATACCCTAAAATCACTTCTGTCCTGATACCCTGGTGCCTTAATACCCTAAATTCCGAAGGCCTTAAAGCTTAAAACCCTATGGCCACATGGCCCTAGCATCCAGATGCCCTAGTATCACGACGCCCGAAGACCCCAAGACTTTACTACCCTATGGCCCGAATACCCCAAACCATGATACCAAACTCCCTACAGCCCGAATGCCCTAATACCCTAAGGCCTAGAACCCCAACGCCCTAAAACCCAACTCCCTCAGACCCGTAATCCCTAAAGCCATAATGCCCTAAGACCAGAGACCGAGGCATCGTAACACCCGAATGCAACAACGCCCTAACTCCCAAAGGCCTTGATGCCCTATGGCCCGAATACCCTCATGCCTGAGCGCGCTAGATCCTTGATGCCGTAACGCCATAACGCCCTAAAACACTAACACTGTAATGCCCTATCACCCTACAGTCCTAGCCCCTTAACAACCTATTACCCTAATACCCTAACGCCCGAATGCCCTAAACCTTCGAAATGGCCTAAAACTCCAATGTCCAAAGCCCTGATACCCTACTACCCTAGAACACTAACGTCCTAATACCCTGCGGCCCGACCTTACAGCCGTAATATCCGAATGCCCTAGCACCCAAATGCTCTAAGACCTTCGCACCCAACGGCCCTAAAGCCCTAGAGCTTTAAACCCTGATACCTTAGTAACCGAACGCCCTACCCTAATACTTTAATTCCATACGACCCTCGGACCCTAATGCCGTCATACCTGAAAACTTTGAGACCCTAGTATACGAAGTCCCGACAACCCTTATAACATATGCCCCAACATCCAAATACCCTGATGCCCTAACACCCTGATCCCTACGGCCCTGGTACCCTACGGCCCTAAACACTAAAGCCTTGAGACTCTGAGGCGCCAGAAATCCTGAAACCCAGAGGTACTAACGCCCTAATACCCCACGGTACTTAATACCCTGGAGCCCTAATTTGCCCAGCGAAGGGCCCAACCATATGCAGTTGTGAGTGCCGCAATTGTGAGGATCGTCTTCGGTGAAACTCTTTATGGGGCCACAAACATGTAGGGTGCGCGCCGGTTTGGGTAGAGGGGGGGCGCATGTGGACCCTCCCACTGGGACCTTGGGTGGAACTCCCTACAGGGCCACGAAACGTGTGAGGGCAGTGCCGAAACGGGCGTAACGCCCACATGCGAACTGCGCCACAGGGACCTTTGGTGGAACTCCCTACGGGGCCACGAAATGTGTCAGGGGTGTGCCGAAACGGGCGTGATGCCCACATACGAACTGCGCCACTCGGACCAAGGGTGACGCCCACCTGCGAACCGCGCCACTGGGACCTTCGGTGGGGCTCCATACGGGGCCACGAAGCATGTGAGTGTGTGCCAGAACGGGCGCGACGCTCACATGCGAACTGCGCACTGGGACCTTCGGTGGAACTCCCTATGGGGTCACTCGTGTGCCGAAACGTGACGCCCACATGCGAACTGCGGGGACCTTCACTAGGCGTGTGAGGGGTGTGCCGAAACGGGCGTGACGCCCACTGCGAACCGCGGACCGTCGGTGGAGCTCCCTATGAGGCCACGAAGCGTGTGCGTGGTGTGCCGAAACGGGCGTGACGCCCACCTGCGACCGTCGCCACTGGGACCGTCGGTGGAGCTCCCTATGGGGCCACGAAGCGTGTGCGTGGTGTGCCGAAACGGGCGTGACGCCCACATGCGACCGTCGCCACTGGGACCGTCGGTGGATCTCCCTATGGGGCCACGAAGCGTGAGGGGTGGGCCGAAACGGGCGTAACGCCATCGTGCGAACTGCGCCACTGGGGCCTTCGGTGGAGCTCCCTTTAGGGCCACGAAGCGTTTGAGGGGTGTGCCGAAACGGGGGTGACGGCGACATGCGAACTGCGCCATTGGGACCTTCGGTGGAGCCCCCTCTGGGGCCACAAATCGTGTGAAGGGTGTTCCGAAACGGGTGTGACGCCCACATGCGAACTTTGCCGCATGGACCTTCGCTGGAGCTCCCTACGGGACCACGAAACTTGTGAGGGGTGTGCCGAATAGGGCGTGACGCCCACATGCGAACTGCAGCACTGGGACATGCGGTGGGGCCCCCTTTGGGGCCACGAAGGGTTTGAGGGGTGTGAAGCAACAGAGACGATGCAGGGATGAGAGGAGGAAGGGGAGGAGGAAGGAAAGAAGGAGTGAACGCGGGGCGCTGTCTTTCAAAACGAAGACCCCATACCCTAAAAACTTAAGGCCATAATTCCATGATGCCCTAACGCGCTGGTGCCCTAAGACGTTGTAGCCCTGACATCCGAAAACCTTTAGACGCGAACGCCCTAATGCCCCAAGGCCCTCAGACCCGAAGGCCCTGAACTACCCTAACACCCCGATGCCCCCAGAACTTGATAGCCTAAGTCCCTGGTGCCTTAATACCAGAAGGCCCTGCTACCAGAATGCCCTAATACTCTACTGCCCTAATGCCCGAAAGTCCCAACGCCGTACCACCCTATTACCCTAAAGCCGCAGACCCCTAATATCCAACTGCCATCATGGCCTAACGCCCTAATACCCTGGACTTGAATGGCTCAAGACACTACCCAACTTGCCTGATACCCTACTACACTAGAACCTAAACGCCCTCCCGACGGCTCTATTACTGTAACCTGGAACGCTAGAACGCCCGAATGCCCTTAATAGGCGAACACCCCGTAATGCCCTAATACTGAAATATCCTACTACTGGAAAGACCGGATAAACTTATACTCTAAGACCTTACAGCCGTAAAGCTATAATGCCCGAACGTTCCCATACCATCATGCCTTCACACCCTTCGACCACTTAATCCGTAGAGCTCTAATACCGTAAAACACTAAAACCGATTACCCAAATACCCCTTATATCCTAAAACCCAAATGCCCTAATACGAAAAAAACCTGACGCGCCAATACCTGAATACCCTAACGCCCTAAGACCCGACAGTCCTAAAAGCCTGATGCCCCAAGAGCCTAAAGCCCTAATACACAAGTAACCGAACGTCAAGCCCTCATACCTTCATGCCATAAGACGCTCGGGCCCTAATGCCCTCATACCCTAAATCCCTACAGACCCCAATACACGAATACCCTACCGCACTTTTGCCCGAAGACCCTAACATCCAAATGCCATGGTACCTTAACACTCCAACCTTACTCTCATACGGCCCTGATGCCGTAAGTCCCTACATCCTGAAACCCTGAGATCCTCAGGCCATTAGACACCAAACATAATGATACCCAAAGATCCCAACGCCCTAATGCCCCAAGACGTCAAGACCCTAATGCCCCTACGCCCTATAATCCGAGTGCGCTAGTACCCTGACACCCAAGAAACTCAGACCCTAAGACCCTCATGCCCTAAGGCCCTAGAAGCCTGAAGCCCGAATGCCAGAGTAACCAAACACCTGATCCGAATACCTTGATGCCATAGGACCCTAGGCCCATAATTCCCTCATACCCTGAAGCCCCAAGACCCGAATGTCCCACCTAATACCCCTACGCCTTAAAAACCTCAACACCCGCATCCCCAGACCCGGTGCTGCCTTAAGACCAAGTGCCGGAAGACCGTAATACCCTAATGCCTTGCGGTCCTAAAACCATAATACCGTCACACCCTAACACACTGATACCCCAAGACTTCACAGCCCTAGAACCCGAACGCCCTAAGACCCGAACTCCCGAATACCCCGAGACCCTCAGACCCGAAGACCCTAAAATCTTCATGCCCCAACTAACTGATGCCCTCAGATCTTGATACCCTAAGGCCCTGATGCCCCAATACCGGGAGACTCTGCGACCGCAGAACCTTGATACTCTCATACACGAAAATCTTAAGATTTTGATGCGCTAAGACCCTACTAACCCAAGCCACGAATGCCCTTATATCATAAGACCCCAATGCCTTACGAAAGCCCCAATGCGTCAACACCTTATCCGAAAACCAAAATGCCCTAAGACCCGACTGCTCTAACCCCCCGGGACCACGCGGCCCTAACGCCCTAATGCTCTAACACCCTAATGCTATGAGGCCTCTGTGCCCTGGTACCCGATTCCACTAAGGCCCTGAATTCTGAACGCCCTAAGACCCGAACGCCCGAATGCTCCAAAAAACTCAGACCCGACGACACAACCAAAGACCTATACCCTAACACCCTGGTGCCCTCAGGTCATGCTGCCCTAAGACCCTGACGCCCTAATACCGGAAGACCCTGCGACAACAAAAGCCTAATACCCTCATGCCCTAACACCCTAAGATCGAATGAGTGCACTAAGACCCGACTACATTAAGCCATACAGGAATACCGTACAGAACTCATACCTTAATACCCTAAGACCCCTATGCCTTAACACCCGGAAAATTAATGCGTCAACACCGTGACACCCTAACGGCCTAATATCCGAATGTCCTAAGGCCCGGCCGCCCTAAATCCCTAAGCGGCCCTGACGCCCTAATGCCTTTTTGCTCCAGCACTCGAATGGCCTAAGACCTTCATGCCCCCATGCCCCATTGCGCTGAGACCGTAATGCCCTGATCCCCATAATGCACTAAAACCCTAGGACCCTGACGCCCTAAAGCCGTAATGCCGACACCCACCAACTCGGGCCCAGCCGAACTCGGACCCAGCGGAACTCGGGCCCGGCCGATCTCGGACCCAGCCGAACGCCCAGCTGAACTCGGACGCCGGCTCGCGCCGTCGCGGGAGGGCCCGAGCCCGAGGTCAGCTGAGTCCGATTGTGGGAATTCCTGGATGAGCCGGGTGCGAGGTCAACCGGGAAATGAACTCGGACCTTAGGAGGCAACTACTGGGAGGTTTTCGTCGGAAAGATTAAATGGGATTCAGCCCCATTTGGGAGCTGTTACGCCGGAATGGGCCACGGACTAAACAGGATTAAGCCAGATTAAGCAGGATTAAGCGGGATTAAACAGGATTAAGCGGGATTAAGCCGGATTAAGCCGGATTTCGGACCAGGGCTAAATCAGAATTTGACCTCCCAGGAGTTGCATCCGAACGGACCCAAGTAAAATCAGACCCCGACGCACGCAGGCACAGCTGAGCTCGGACACAACTGAACAGACATCCGACCGATCTTGATCTATCTACGTCCAGTCTGAGCTCCCAGCAGAAGTCGCTGAAAGTTCGCGCCGCAACGGGAACGCCCGGGGTCGAGTTCAGCCGGATCCGAGATCCGTCGGGCCCGAGTTCAGCCGGGTCCGAGATCAGCCAGGTCCGAGATCAGCCCTTTCCCGAGTGGCCCCGCCCGCGCCAGCAACCCCAGGAGCCCGTCCTTGCCTCCGCGCATCCTTCGCCGCGCCCACCCTCACACGCACAGTGCCAGGCTGGTTACCACGAAAGCCCACAGCAGTGGGAGGAGGAGGTGCCTCTGCGCGAAGGAGACGCCAGCAGAGCTGATCAGATCCAGGTGGTCATTGGAGGAGACGTTTGCGAAGAAGAGGGCGACGTAGTTTATGGCGAAGAGGCTGTACAGCGTGCCCAGCACGTAGACGAGGGCGTCCCGCCTGCGCCACCTCCCTAGCTGCAGCTCCCACTCTCGACATCCCTCCGTTGGAACTCGCACGAAGTGACGCTGGTGCGCCAGTTTGATGATGGATGGATGCTCGCCAAGAGCGCAGAGACCACACCGACTGCGATCAACTTTCCAAGCGCCTGCCACATGCAATCGTCGTCACGGTCGTCACACTCCGCGTTGCACTCCTCGGGCGAGTCCTTCGCCAGAGCCCCCCCCGTGCTCGCGAAGAAGAACGTAGCGATCATCACGGCCCCCGTCAGCTCGCAGCCGAGCAGCAGTACCCTCATGGATCTCCTCATGATGATGCTTCGCACAAAGACCGCCCCGACGGGACAGTTGATCAGGCACGATAGCATCAACGTGCGAGCCGCGTGGCACCGCGAGCGGCGACGCCGCAGCGCGCTCTCACGGGCCGCCCGCACCCTGCCGACCATCTCGGCCAGCATGTCGTGCCGCCGCTTGGCCTCGGCGACGCCGCCCTCGGCAGCGGAGCCAGCGAGGGTGCGCAGCGCAGCGCCCTCGCTGTCCAGCTCGCCCGGCGCCGGGGGCTCCAGCTCCTTCTGGACCTCTGGGCTGGGCAGGAAGTCCACATCTCTGGGGTGCATGAGCAGAGACGCGCACACCCGATTCGTCGTGTTCCACTCGGCCAGCGTTTTGGCCAGATCCTTGAGGCCGAAATTGCCCCTGAGAAGTTCCCACACGAAACTGACGAACACATCGACGGTTTGCCGGATGCCGTCGACGCACTTGGTGACGATGCTGACGACTTCCAAGAGCGCGCCCTGCAACAGCTCCTCGCAAGACGCCTTTGTGTCCTGCTGGACCGCCTGGCGGGCAGACTGCAACGACCCCACGGCGGTTGTATAGCTGGCCCTTGACGATGTAGCTGCCACCGCGTGGCATTGACTGCTCTGACTGCTCGCGACGCTGCCGTCTGACCTTTTCTTGCAGAACTCCTTGCGCAACGCCTCCGTAACGGGCGTGTGATCGGCGCCGCGCGGAACTGTCCGAGGCGCGCCCGCCGCGGCGCGGTCCTCGGCACCCACGGCGCTGCAGCTCGAAGTTTCCAAACAGAAATGCTTGCGCAGAACCTCCGTGACGTTTGCGCGCTCGGCACCGAGCAGGGTCACCGGGGGCGCGCCCGTCGTCTCGGTGTGGTATCCGTCCGCCCGCGTCGTCGGGCAGGCGACGGGTTCACGCGCGAGCTCGGGAACGACGAACTCCCTCGTGCCCCAGCGGCCCGCCCGCTCGTCCCTGACGTCGCACGCGTGCGCGGTCAACAGCATGGCGATGTACAACAACATCACACACAGCAGGAACACCGAGCCCGCGGAGTCCAACCAGTCGCCAGTCCACAACTCCACGTAGGACTCTGCTGACAGCAGGCTGGCCTGGCTGCACTCGAGCGAGCTCACGAAGCCCTTCAGTATGGCCCCGAAAACTGTGAGGTGTGTGGTCGCGCACCGCAGCGTGCTGTCAGCGAGGCGCGTAGTTGCCATGCCCTCGGAGCTCCATTCCAGCATGGCTTCGTCGAAATCCGCCGACCCTGTCGGCGTGTGGACGAGGCTCTTTCATTCGTCGCAGTTCCATTGGTCGTCTCCTCGTCGTCGTCGTCGTCGCCGTCGCCATTCCAAGCTTTCTCCTGGGCCTCCTGCTCCGACGCGCCAGCCGTTGCTGGAGGCCTGGAAATTGGCACCAACACCAGCACAGGTGGTTGCCTCCACATGGGGAAGATGATCCTCGTTTCCGGTGTTGGTGGTAATATTTCGGCCACCTTGAAAGCCAGAGTATTACCGCCATCACCGAGAGCGGGATCGTCTTCCCTCGGTGGAGGCACACCGCCGATCTTGCTGTTGGTGCCAACCTCTAGGCCTGCGACGTTGCCACTCTTACCCTGGGCCTTTCATTTCAAGCGTGCTGGCCAAAGCGACAGTAACGAACCGCGTCGTTCATTCGAAGGGAAGCCCCTTCCCTTCATACCTTCGCCCCCCGGGGGGGGGGTCCTGGGGGTGTGGATCCCGGGAAGCGAAACGGTCTTTCTGTGGCCCGTTGGGCCCGTTGGGGCCTTCGCCCCCCGGGGGGGGGGGTCCTAGGGGGGTGGATCCCGGGAAGCGAAACGGTCTTGCTGTGGCCCGTTGGGGCCTCCCGTGGCCCGCTGGGGCTTTCTGTAGCCCCGTTGGAAGCCTTCGGTGGCCCTGGTGGCCCCTGTTGGGCCTTCTGTGGCCCGGCCGCCGCTTCTGAACACCATACCCCAAACACCATACGAAGCACTTCAACTTCAACCCCAGAGGCACAGACACAACACGCACGTAAACCTCAGAGACACAGACACGACCCGCACTTGAAGCGCAGAGACACAGGCACGACACGCACTCAAACCTCAGAGACACAAACACGACCCGCACTCAAACTTCGGAAAAAAAAACAGGCAGGACACGCAATTCAATCTCAGAGACAGAGACACGACACGCACTGAAACCTTATAGACACAGACGCGACACGCAGTTACATCTTAGAGACACAGACCGGACACACTGAAATCTTAGAGACACGATGATGATGATGATGATGATGATGATGATGATGATGATGATGATGCTGATGATGATGCTGATGGTGTTGATGATGATTTCGATGGCGGATAGGATGATGGTAATGATCCGACGGTTAAACCAGTCATGACAACAAATATGATGATGATTCTGATGATGATGATGGTGAAGGGAAGAAGAGAAGGATGGTTGAGGCGGGCGCGGAAGGATGAGGAGCGTGATGTTGATGACGACGAGGATGATGCTGATGGCTGATGCTGATGCTGATGCCGATGCCGATGATGATGACAGTGATGTTGTTGATGATGATTGTGATGATGATGCTGATGCTGGTGATGATGATGATGCTGATGCTGGTGATGATGATGATGATGATGATGATGATGGTCCTGATGACACTGCTGCTGATGATGATGGTGATAGTGATGATGATGGTGGTGATGCTGCTGCTGATCATGATGGGGAGGAGGAGGAGGAGGAGGAGGAGGAAGAGGAAGAGGGTGTTGCTGATCGTGCTTATGATGATGATGATGATGCCGACGATTACCACAACGATGACGACGACGTTTATGAAAATGGTAACGGCGATGCTGATGATGAGGCTGATAGTGATGCGGAGGAGGAGGAGGAAGAGGAGGAGGAGGAAGAAGCTCAAAGCGAACGCGCATTTGTATATGATAGCGCACTTGCATCCAATCGCATCCGGCCCATCCAACCACCGTACCTGGCTTGTGGTTCAGAATCCTCAGGTATACTTCTGGGGCTCTCTTCGGAGCGCTCTCGGGGGCCTATGGGGGGGCCAGTTTGGGAGCCTCTTGGCCTCCTGTCGCCTCTTGGGGGTCTCTTGGAGGCCTCTTGGGGCCTCCTCGGGCTCTCGGGGCTCGAAATGTCCATTCGGTTACCCAATCTGGGCTCTCTCATGGAGCCGCCTTGGGGGCCTCTCGGGCGGTCTTGGAAGCCTCTTGGGCCATCTTGGAGCCCTCTTGGGCCGTTTTTGGGCCCTCGTGGAGGCCTTTCGGGGCGATGTTTGGGGGCCTGTTGGGCCGTCGTGGTGCGTCGGGATGCCGAAAGGAGAACGCCAAAATGTTTCCAAACCCGAGTGAATACCTGTGAGTTTTGCATCTTGGGGGCCTGTTGGGCCGTCTTGGAGGCCCCTTCGGCCGTCTGCAGGCCATCTTGAGCGTCTTGATCCGATTTCTCGGCGACTCGGAGTCCTCGACCATCTGTGAAGCCTCTCGGGGCCCTCTTGGCCCGTCTCAGCGCCTTCTAGGCCCCGGGAGGGTAATGCGAGAATCCGCGGGAAGCCTACGATATTGGACGGGTTTGGGCCTTCTTGAGAATCCTTAATCCAGATGGCTGAGGCCCACTCCGTGCAGGGTCACGGTTGTGTGCGTATATATATATATATATATAGCCATTCCGAGGGAGCAGAAAGCTCGGGAGCGATGAATTGTAGGTCCCGTTCTCGATGTTTTTGGCTGTTTCACTAAGGAGACATCCTCGGGACTCTGAACAT